AAGGATAAGTCTAAAGAGTGTATATTTACGTGACTTTAAGGAATGATGGAGGCAGTTTTTGGGTATGAAGTCTTCTCTCTGAGCTTCTTCTTTCTGATATCTCTTCTGTTTCTCCCTAATTTTCTCTTATATTCTCTGGAAAGCTAAAATTCATATTCTCTCAAAGTCAGGTGTGAAGTTAGGACTTCGATGGGAATCAACAAAAAGAATTGTTGCTGGCAAATCTTATACTTGTAATTGCAAAAGAAATTGTTGTTGTATTTTGATTTTCTAGTCGCAAATTTGTCATTGAAACTCGTTCCTTCAATTTTATGAATAAAAAAAAGCATATTGTTTCAGTATTCTTCATTTCTTTATGGATTTTAGCTCTTCACATGCCTAGAAGAAGCTAAAATCTCTTTTGTTGAAGTTGAATGTAACTAATTGGATTTCATGTATTCCTTTTAGTTGATCTAAGTGTTAATTCATTTGCTTTATGCTTTTGTAGAATGATCTCCCACAAGTTGGTTTTTTACTCAAGTTGTTATTAGAAAATCATCATTACATTTGGAATTGGAGTTTAACATATAGTAGACCTTATACCTAGGAATGAGAGTTAGTTGAATAGTCATCTCTTAATCTATTTTTTGAATGCAAGTTCATTTGAGGTAACTAAGGAATTAAGGGTTATTTAATGAGCTTATGCTTATATCACCTAAGAGATTAGGGTTTGAGTACGATTATATATTGATGTTGATGAGTGATGTATAAAAATTGAATGCATTTATATGCATGAGGATGAAGTTAGCAAAACCTAACCTGCAACAGTTTTTATAGTCTTTAAGAAACTCTTTTACATTGCTTTCAAACTATTTTGTGAAAATATAAAAAAAAAAGTTTCGAGTTCTTTTTAGCTTCTTTAATTATTTTAATGTACAGTAGCCTTTGAGCTCTCTACCTTCCCAATTTATTGTTATATTTAGTTTGTTTAGATAATAGTTAATGTGCTTATGTGATAGTCATTTAAGTAAGTTTCTTAAGAAACAATACTTTTTCTCATCATTGACTACTTGTACAACTTAGTTCATTTGCCAAGATTGAAGACATTATTAGAATAATGAAAATTTATTTTTCCTTTCCCATTGGAGATAACATCTTTTAATTTTACTACAAGAAAATTGTCATATAGTGATATACATTCTATAATAATATAATGCATATTACTAAAAATTACTTTTACCCACACACTAAATATAATATATGTTGGTATATTGTTAAGTGTGGGTATAAGCTATAATGACACAAAATATGTTGTTAAATCTCATTCAAAATCAACACTAAAATCATGTGTAATTAAATGTCAAATAGATATATACTTACATATTTTGTACCTATAGTGACACATTTTATATGTAACATTTCTCGTAGTGTTTTCATTTCCCATTGGTTTTTCAACCGTTAACAGACACATGCTTTGCACATGCCCATGGCTTCAATTGTCATTAAAACAATTGATTTTAGCTTATAAAAATTGAAAGCAGATTTTAATTATTCACCAATAGTATCATCAAATTTTGCACTATATAAAAATGATACAAGCACAAGACTTTAGACACCAACAATTTTTTTATACACTTAAACTTTTCTCTCTTTCCTTTATAATTTTTAGTCATTGTTTGTGAGGCTCCAATATGTTTGACCTCGAGTGCATGAGTTTAAACATGT